ACTTTTGTGTGAAAAATTACAAAATTTGTATTCTATGGCGTATATACTTGCCCCTGAAGGACATAGACCCGAGAAGTTAATAGTATATCCAAGAGGAGTGGTTGACCTTTAAATTGATATCAATTATATGGTCGTATGTACTCAGATGTGGGAGTTACACTTACGTACTGAGATATTATTTAGTAACCCATTACCACACTAGAGGGCGATATATAGCGATGATCGCTTTGAAATTGTCCATAAGGATCCAGGTATGGTCAAGGACAAAACCTTTAATTTTTGGTTATGATCAGATAATAATATTGGGATGAGGTGGACCGAAAACTTAATTTTGTGCGTGTGTTTTTTTTCGATTCTACAGGCAATTTGAAAGCCGAACATAATTAGAAGGCTGTACTGAATATTAGTAATACTCTGAAAATATGTCAGAATAATGAAGAGGTGCTGTTGACCTCTAGTCGGTCAAAAGGATGCAAATATCGTGAAATATTGTCCTAGCTCAGAATATAGAATCACAGAAAGTTAGATTTTCGTGGAAGTTGTGTAGGGTATCATATGGTCGACCCGTCCGACTATACTGCTCCGCTCACTGGTTTATTTTTATTTTTTTCAAATTTATTTTCAGGACGCCAATCAAAATCGTATTAAACAATTTAAAGATATCAAATTAAACACTGGTGTCTATAGTAATAAATTTCAATTATCCAAGGAACCGGTAATGGGTCAATGGCATATCTTGGTCTCAGTATTGGGAAAATATGAAACAACAGGTGGTAAAGATTTTAAAGTTGAGAAATATGTTTTACCCAAATTTGGTGTTTACATTGATGCTGCTAACGAATTGCTATATGACGATGATGAATTTAGTGTAAGCGTCTATGGAAAATACACATTTGGTAAATATGTGGAGGGTATGGCGAAGATTGCCATTTTAAATGTCTACACCAATATGACTATGGTTGAACAGCAAGCTCCACATAAGGACTATCCTGCAGTATTTAAATTCAACTTCAACGATATACCACAGGCACGCATATTTTCATCGGTTATACTTTTAGCCACAATTGAAGAGGCCCAAACGGGTATAACCCAATCGACAATGCAGAAATTGAGTGTTCGTAAGGAAAATATAATATTATAGTACCAGAGAGTGAAATTGAATTTTTGAACGGTAAACCATATAAAATGAAGGCAATGGTTAAATATTGGAATGGTAGTCGGGTAAACGATGTTCGTACTCCGATCCGTATGACTCATGGCAATAGAACGTATGAAACTAAATTGAATAGATATGGTGTGGCCACATTTACTTTCGACTATATCGACAAAGAAGTTAATGTTTTTCAATTTGCCGATAGTTCTACATATCTATCGAATATATTTATTGGACAAAATTATAGATATGATGCTTCAAAGACAGTTTGTTCTATAAAATTAAAACAAGGAAAGTAAGTGAAAATAATATTTTTCTAAATTTATTATTTTAATAATTTATTAATTTTTTATAGATTAAAATTTGGTACAACCATTGACTTGGAGGTAACATCGGAGTCGCCAATTCCCTATCTAATTTACACCGCCACCAGTCATTCAGATATTGTTCGTTCGCAATTAATAAAATTGCCGGACAATACGAGTTCGCATGTTTTTAAAATTACACCTGGTATCGATATGATTCCACGTTGTCATATCTATGTACATTACATTGTAAATGGCGAATTGCGATATTGTGAATTGAGTTTGAAATTCCCAAATGAATTTGAGAATAAGGTGAGTAAAAAGGCAGTACCTATGTGCAAATAAAACCAGTAAGGAAAGAAGTAAAGTCGGACTGTGTTCAAACAGACGTCCCCTTTTCTAAGAAACATTGAACGAACTTAAATATGTGATCTTTATCTATAAGTAAACTGAATAACATCAATCCCAACACACCCCATTCTGCAACATATTTATACGCTTCACCAAACTGTGGTACAGGGTATTATGTCTTTGTGCATATGTTTGTAACAGGCAAAAGGAAACGAGATAGACACATGGTTCCTTTTGAGAATAGGCATAGAGTCGATTTATGCATGTCCGTCCGTCCGTCTGTCCGCCTGTAGATGTTAAATTGTAAACAAAGTACAGGTCGCATTTATGATCCGATTTGGATAAAATTTGGCACAAGTCACTTAATTGGCCGAAGGACGAACCCTATTGAAATTGGGAAAAATCGGTTCAGATTTAGATATAGCTCCCATATATATTTTCGTCCTATTCAAGGTAAATGGGGCACCAAAGTTCCTCTACATCTTTCGATTTGCACGAAATTTGGCACAGAGTACTGAATTAAGTGCAGAATGATGTGTGCCAAATTTCGAGAAAATCGGTTCAGATATAGATATAGCTCCTATATATAGTTTCCTCCGATTTAAGGTAAATGGTGCATACAAGGTCCCTATATATCTTTCGATTTGCATGAAATTTGGCATAGATTACTGAATTAGGTGCAGAATGATGTGTGCCAAGTTTTGAGAAAATCGGTTCAGATTTAGATATAGCTCCCATATATAACTTCGTCCGATTTAAGGTAAATGGTGCGCCGAAGTCCCTAAATATATTTCGATTTGCACGAAATTTGGCATAGTATACTAAATTGAGTCTATAATAATGTGTTCTAAGTTTTGTGAAAATCGGTTCATATTTAGATGTAGCTCCCATATATATTTTCATCTTATGTAATGTAAATGGTGTACCAAAGTCTCTATTTATCATTCGACTTGCACCAAAGTCCCTATTTGTCACTCGATTTGCAATTTTGCACAGCGTGCTGAATTAAGGCTAGAATGATGTGTGTTTAGTTTCGTGAAAATCGGTCGAGATTTAGATATAGCTCCCATATATATGTTCGTCCGATTTAATGTAAATGCTGTCGTCCGATTTTACACAAAATTGACACAAATTTTGCACAACGTACTGGAGTTACAATAACCTAGAAGTTGGATATAAATGCTTCATCAAGGTGGGTCCAATCGGCAGAAAATTTTGCACTACGTACTGAAGTTACTATAACATAATGTGTGGCAAGTTTAGTTGAAATCGGTTAAGATTTAAATTAATTTACATAATTTTGTCCCTGGTCCTTCAATCGTTAGATATACCAAAAGTGGTGAAGGGTATCATATAGTCGGCACCGTCCGACTTTACTACTTTCCTTACTGGTCTAAATTTTGAAAATAGATTTAAAGCAAACTTTACACACGCTATTTGGTATTGATTATTTGGACTATTTGGCAGCCATTGATTATTTGGTGTACAAAAAACATCAATCGGCCTAGCTATTGGTCTTTAGGGCATCATTTACTTAAAATCGGACGAAAGTATATATTGGAGTTATATTTAATTCCGAACCGATTTCATCAAAACTTGACACACGTCATTCTAGACTCAATTCAGTACACTATGCAAAATTTCGCGCAAATCGAAAGATATATAAGGACTTTGGTGCACCATTTACAGAAAATCGGAAAATATATATTGGAGCTATATTTGTATATGAACCGATTTTAACGAAAACTAGCACACATTGTTCTGGACCTAATTCAACATTCTTTGTCAAATTCCTATATAGGGCCTTTGGTGCACCATTTACATTAATACGGACGAAGATATATATGGGAGCTATATCTAAATCTGATCCGATTTTCTTCAATTTCTTGTGCAACATTTCATCAAAATCGGATCATAAATGAGACCTTTACTTTGTTTAAAATTTAACATCTATAGACGGCGAACGAACGAACATGCATAAATCGATTCAGAAAGTGATTCTATGCATATTATAAAAAGAAACCATGTGCCTATCTCGTTTCCTTTTGCCTGTTACAAACATATGAACAATGACATAATACCCGGTACCACAGTGTGGTGAAGGGTATAAATAGTTTAAAGTATAATGAAATTCTATGCAAATCAAATCTAACACTAGTAAATGGAGGACTCTCCTCGTTTTACATATTAGAGATAACTGTTACAAACATATGCACATAGACATAATACCCTGGTGAAGGGTATAAAAATGCACTTAAATTCCTAGCTTCTCCTTAGGAATCATCCACACAGCTATAATCCTCGTAATATGGGGTCTTATACCGCCAAGGTAACGTTTATATGTACATCGCATCCTTCATGCTAAAGTCTCACTTCATTTGACAAATTTTTTCAAGCGGCATGTTTCCTAGTGGTGTAGGTCCTGCCGAAATAAACACCTTTTTTAAAACATTGAATTTTTTGTTTAAATACTTCTCTAATCTCAATTATTTATTATTAATCTCAACATATCATTTTTTATATTTCATAACAGGTATCAGTATCAGCACCCCAAATGGCAAAGCCGGGACAAGAAGTTCAACTTAACATTAAAGCAAAGCCCAAATCATATGTAGGCCTATTGGCTGTAGATCTAATTGTACATCTTCTAAATCCGGAATATAATATCGATCGAGAACGTATATTTAGAGAATTGACATACGATTTGACATTTTCCGGTGTAGATGTAATCTATCCTGGTCAAATATCTGGACTTATAACACTGACCAATGCCAATTATAATAAATATGAGACACCCATTGGTAAGTTTTAAACAAATATATTTGCACATATACTCATTTATTTGATTGACAGATAAGTCGGATAAGCCAAGGTATATACCTGACACTCTACCTCCAGTTAATGTAGAAATACGTTCAAAATTTCCCGAAACATGGATATTTATGGACCTGATGGAGTAAGAATTTCATTGTATGGCACACAATAATTATTTTAATTTTATTTCCGCCATAGCGTAAATTAAACAACCCAATTGACCCTTAATGTACCCGATACCATAACCGCATGGCTTATTACGGCATTTTCGGTAAACGATGAAAGCGGTTTTGGCATGATGTCTGAACCGATAAATTTAACCGTATTCAAAACATTTTTCATATCTACCAATTTACCATATTAATGGAATATGGTAAATGGTACGAGGAGAAGTTGTTAAAATTCCTGTTACCATTTTCAATTATCACAATCGCGAACTGAACACCATGGTAACTATGAATAATTCTAATGGGGAATATGATTTTGTTGATGAGGCGACAATGAAGCAATTGTCCACCATTGAAAATTCCCAACGCATAAATGTGCCAGCCAATAGTGGAAAAACTTTAAAGTTCTCGATAAAACCCAAAAAACTTGGACCCATAAAAATCCAAATAAATGCCACTAATAATTTATTCAAGGATGCCATATTGCAAGATCTCTTAGTTGAACCCAAAGGCAAAATTGAACGCCAAAACAAGGATTTATTTATAAGTCTCAACAAAGAGCAACAAATATATCGTACATCCATTGATGTCGAGATTCCACAGAATATAGTTCCCGATACCGAATTCATACAACTTTCTGTAGGCAGTGATATTCTCTATACCGCCCTTGATAACCTTGATAATTTGGTGCAATTGCCCGCCGGTTGTGCTGAACAAAATATGATGAATTTTGCACCCAACGTTTTGGTATTGGATCATCTGAGAACCATGCGTAAATCTTCGGAAAAACGAGAATTGGACGAACGGGCTACTCGTCACATTGAAATTGGATATCAACAAGAATTAACCTATCGTCATGTTAACGGAGCATATAGTGTCTTTGGACCGAAGGCACGCACGGAGGAAAATACATGGCTAACAGCGTACATTATTCGATTCTTTATTAAAGCACAACGTTATGTCGGCATAGAAAGTTCAATAATCAATGAAGGTTTAGAATTTTTGAAATCTAAACAATTGCCAACGGGAGAATTTCAATATACCGACTATTTATTTCATCCAGCCCATCAGGATCGTTATGGTTTTACGGCATTTGTCCTATTGCCATTTTTGGAAAGTTCGGTAAGTTAAACCAGTAAGGAAAGTAATAAAGTCGGACGATGCCGACTATATGATACCCTTCATCACTATGGGTGTATTAAAAAGGACTATTAACATGAAATTGGATGAAATAAAATATGTGATATTTATCTAAATGTGAATCTACCTAGATCTATCCATAAAGTATGTAAATCGACTTCAAACAAATATAAATAGGTCATCCGTTGGGCTATGTTTGTACTTCTACAAAACGCAACTACGTAATTCTATAGAATCTGACTAACACGAGGAGTTTGGTGCCCAATTTACTTGAAATCGGGCGAAAATATATATGGAAGCTCTATCCAAATATTAAGCGATTTTAAACAAACTTGTCACAGGTTATGTTATACTAATTTCAGAACGTTTTGTTCCTATCAGCCTATTGGTTACTTTGTGCGTCAATTACTTAAAATCAAACTATAATAAAAGGGAGCTATATCTAAATCTGGACCGATGTTCACGAAACAAGGCAGACTTCGCTCCAGGCTCAATTCAGTACGTTATGCCAAATTTCGTGCAAATCGAAGGATATATAGGGACTTTGGCGCACCATTTACATGAAATCGGACGAAACTATATATGGGAGATATATCTAAATCAGGACCGATTTTCAAACTTGGCAGACATAATTCTAGGCTCAATTCAGTAGGTTATGCCAAATTTGGTGCAAATCGAAAGATATATAGGGACTTTGGTGCACCATTTAAATAAAATCGGACGAAACTATATATGGGAGCTATATTTAAATCTGGACCGATTTTCATGAAACTTGACAGACGTCACTCTTGGTTCAATTCAGAACGTCATGCCAAATTTCGTGCAATTCGAAAGATATATAGGGACATAAATCATAAATCGACTTAAAAAGTGATTCTATGCAAATTCTAAAAAGGAACTATCTCGTTTCCTTTTGCCTGTTACAAACATATGCACAAAGACATAATACCCTGTACCACAGTGTAGTATAAAAATTTCATCAAAAATATTTAATACCCACTCCACCTTATTTATGGCATGAACATAAAGCTGTGATGTCTGAAGGACCAGAACATATTAAAAAACTAAACTTTACCTTTCTTCGGAGCTAACATCCGCCCTTTGGAAAATTTTGGGGACTAATCGAGATGTAATGATCGGTACACCAAAAAATAAATCTGGGATCAATAGTTCGCTGGGTTTGTGTTTTTTGTTTGGGTTGTAGAATCTTATGTGAAGCATGGGAAAAGGAATTATTAACTGTGATATATAAATGTACCAAAGGTTGATGTTCCTAAATACATTCACAATCAGTTTTGATATTTACACATAGCCCTCATATAAAGGTAGCAAATCTTTTCAATGCGTACATTGAAGGCGCTAGAAGAATTTTCCAAAAATATTAATTGTATATAAGTGGGATAAAAATTCTCTTGGTAGGCAATTTGCAGAACACTTTTATGATTTTACATATCCACCATATCCATCCGATTTTAGGTATTCTAAAGCGTGAAGGATATAAAAATTTCCGCCCGCTTAAAATTTAAGGACATTCTCTCTTCGTTTTAATTGCAACTTAATTTTTTCGTAGCTATCTAGAAGAAAATATAAAGCTGTGATCGATAAAGGAGTTGAATTTTTAGTTGACAATATCAATAACATCGATGACAACTATGCCTTATCTCTTACGGCATTAGCACTACAAATGTCTAAAAATGATTACTCGAATGAGCTATTGACTAAACTTCAAGAGAAGTCCCTCTCTGAAAATGGTTTAAAATGGTGGCAATCATAAAATCCGGAACATTCGAATAACGTTGAAATAACAGCATATGCTGTAATGGCTTTCCTAGAATCAAATTCTGTCGATAACATAAATATTATGAAGTGGATCTTGGAGCAACGAAGTAAAGTTGGTGGTTTTAAAACGAGTCAGGATACGGTGGTGGCATTGCAAGCATTGATTAAATTCAATGAAAAATATACCAGTTCTGATGAAACTTTATTAAAAGTGAGTTATGAAGCTTTGGATGATAAGGGGTTGAAGGTTATCGATGGCTTTCTGGGCATAGATCCAAGTAATACACAAATTTGGCAACAAATTGAGGTAAGTTTTTTAGCTATATAACTATGAAAATATGAATAATATATTACCCATTCCATTGCAGCTTCCGATAGCCACACGTTTGCTCCAATTGAAAGTTGAGGGCCAAGGAAATGCCATAGTTCAATTAGCCTATCACTATTATATGCACTGAAAGAGGACTTGATGAGCATTGAGTCTGATAATATTGATATTTTAGCTAGAACTACATATAACTCCAGCATTTCAAATAGAATTAAGAAATCACATCAGAAATCATTTACGATTTCCCCCATGGCAAAGATGTCCCCCGCGAAGTTTGTTTCAAATTTAAGCCATCGGATAAATTAAAATATCGTCAAACGAATATGGTCATTATGGAAATTGAAATGCCTTCGGGATTTTTTGTATCATCTGATGCGTTTCAAGATCTACAAGGTATTGCATTTGTAGCTCGAGTTGAATTGAAAAATGCCGATACCACATGTTTGGCATATTTCAAACGTTTACATGCCGACGAAGATGAACAATGCATTAATTTACAAGCTGATAAAATGAATGAGGTGACATTGCTACAGCCGGCCTCTATAACAATGTATGACTATTATATACCAGAATATCGTGATACAGTGTCATATGAAATTCAATAGTACAACTAATATTTAAATTGTTTTAAATGAATATTGAAGTAAAATAAACCCATTTTTATATCCATAAATGTCAAAGTTACTGGAAAGCAATAATATTTTATTATTATGTAAGTATATGAATTCATATGAATACAAATTTTTGTACATATCATCCGTACATATTACCTTCCACAAAACGAAATGAAACATTAGAGGATCTGAATTTTATAATTAAGTATCAGGGACAATAACCAGTCATAAAGCTTTTGTATATGTTGAATAAGTTCCATTTGTTCCATAAACCGAGCATAAAACAAGTGAAAAAGCGTTAAGTTCGGCCGGGCCGAACTTTGGATACCCTGCACCATAGATATACTGACAGGTACTAGAAATTAAAATATAGGGAACATACCAAAAATACAAATTTCAGAAATTTTTAATGGATAATTATACCCTCAGCCTTATGGCTAATGAGGGTGTATACAATTTACACCGTGAAAATGTGCCTCATCGAAATATTGGCTCTAGACCCCATGTTTCTTTGGACCAAATCCGTTTCAAATTTACATTTCATCCAAACATTGCCAATCTTATTATTTCTTCCAAACTTAGTTCACATTCCAAGATGGGGAATATCGGTCCACTCCTTCTGGTACCTCCCACACAGGGGCTAGGTTTAAATACGGGTTATAGTTCATTATCGAACCTTACGTTCTACTTTTCTATCTCGATATCCTCCACAGGTGATATAGTTACAACAGTGTCTTAGAACCAAACCCAAAACGCGGAACAAATTGCATAACTATTTTAATATAAAAAAAGGGGTTACATGGGGACTACCCCAAAAAGGGGGTGCATATTAAAAATTTTTTGTAGAGAAATTTGTTACCATATTCGACTACAAAATACCAAATTTCAGCGAATTCGGTTGAAAAACGTGCTCAAGAACCTCAAAATAGCGAAAATTGGGGGTACCCTTATATAGGGGCTACCAGAAAAATTGGACCTATATTTATAATTTTTGGTGGAGATATTTGGCACGCAATAGGAACCAAATGTACCAAATTTCAGCGAAATCGGTTGAAAAACTTGAGCACCCCTAAAATACCGACATTTGGGGGGTACCCTTATATGGGGGCTATCCGAAAAAATGGACCTATATTCATAATTTTTTGTCAAGAGATTTGGTACCTATTAAGAACTAAAATACTAAACTACAGCTAATTCGGCGGAAAAATACGTTCAAAACCCCTAAAATACTGAAAATTAGAAGGTACCGTTATATGGGGGCTACCAGAAAAAGTGGACCTATATTTATAATTTTTTGTGGAGACATTGAGTACCCAATGAGAACCCAATGTACCAAATTTCAGCGAGTTCGGTCGATAAAGCCCATCTTCGAACTTGACCTGCCTGCAGACAAAAGACGACTCTATGCAAAATTTTGGCGATCTGTCTCAATTCGTTTAGACGCTAGAGTGATTACAACAGATAGACAGACAGACGGACATAGAATTTTACGCTGATCAAGATTATATGTACTTTATAGGGTCGGAAGTGATTATTTCGATGAGTTACAAACGGAAAAACAAAATTAATATACCCTCCATACTATGGTGGCGGGTATAAAAAGGGGTTATATGGGGACTACCCCAAAAAGGGGGTGGATATTAAAAATTTTTTGTAGAGAATTTTTTTACTATATTCGACTACAAAATACCAAATTTCTACGAATTCGGTTCAAAAACGTGCTCAAGAACCTCAAAATAGCGAAAATTGGGGGTACCTTTATATGGGGCTACCAGAAAAATTGGACATATAGTTTGTAATCACTCTACAACAGATAGACAGACGGACGGACATGGCTAGATCGTCATAGAATTTTACGCTGATCAAGATTAGATATACTTTATAGGGTCGGAAATGATTATTTCGATGAGTTACAAACGGAAAAACAAAATTAATATACCCTCCATACTATGGTGGAGGGTATAAAAAGGGGTTATATGGGGACTACCCCAAAAAGGGGGTGCATATTAAAAATTTTTTGTAGAGAAATTTGTTACCATATTCGACTACAAAATACCAAATTTCTACGAATTCGGTTGAAAAACGTGCTCAAGAACCTCAAAATAGCGAAAATTGGGAGTACCCTTATATGGGGGCTACCAGAAAAATTGGACCTATATTTATAACTTTTGGTGGAGATATTTGGCACCCAATAGGAACCAAATGTACCAAATTTCAGCGAAATCGGTTGAAAAACGCGCTTAAGAACCCCAAAATATCGACATTTGGGGGGTACCCTTATATGGGGGCTATCCGAAAAAATGGACCTATATTCATAATTTTTTGTCGAGAGATTTGGTACCTATTAAGAACTCAAAATACTAAATTACAGCTTATTGGGCGGAAAAATACGTTCAAACCCCCCAAAATACTGAAAATTAGGAGGTACCGTTATATGGGGGCTACCAGAAAAAGTGGACCTATATTTATAATTTTTTGTGGAGACATTGAGTACCCAATGAGAACCCAATGTACCAAATTTCAGCGAATTCGGTTGAAAAACGCGCTCAAGAAACCCAAAATACCGAACATATGGGTGGTACCCTTATATGGGAGCTATGCCTAAACGTTGACGGATAAAGCCCATCTTCGAACTTGACCTGCCTGCAGACAAAAGACGACTCTATGCAAAATTTCGGCGATCTATCTCAATTGGTTTAGACGCTAGAGTGATTACAACCGACAGACAGACGGACATGGCTAGATCGTTATAGAATTTTACGCTGATCAAGATTATATATACTTTATAGGGTCGGAAATGATTATTTCGATGAGTTACAAACGGAAAAACAAAATTAATATACCCTCCATAATATGGTGGAGTGTATAAAAATCCAGGCGTGTCAGTCTTTTGCGTTGTTCTTGAAATTTTTGCAAGTCTTCCACTTGATCTTTCTTTTTAATTCGTGGCCTTCCCCATCTGCTAGAACCATCAGCTGGTTCGCTTTTATACTTCTTTTGAGCTGGGTCATATTCAAATATTCTCACAAGGTGACCTAGCTGCAGATCGATACGTTTGTTTAACGGCGGGTTAGCACTATATATGCGATGGGAAAGAGACTTATTCCTCTATAGTTGACACATATTGTCTTGTCTCCGTTTATGTGCACGGGACACAGGAGGCTGATGTTCCAATCATTGGGCATGCATTCCTCTACCCAAATTGTACTAATCAACCTTTTCATGCTCCTGAGCAGCATCTGACTACGAGTCTGGAATAGTTCGACTGGTAACCCATCGACAACTGCTGCTTTATTATACTTCAGGCGATTGATTGCTACTCTGACCTCACCTTGTCTAGCTGGTATACCATCTATTCCATCATCTCATATTGGTTCTGGGATATCTTACTCCTTATGTATATATTCGACACGAAATTTTGCAAAACGTATTACATTGAGACAAAATGGCGTTATATCGTCTTGTTGAAATTGATGCAGACATAGCTTCTATATATTCATTGTGCGCCAAATAATCAACGGATGTCTGATTGAGATTAAATTTTGAACAGTGCAGTATACCCAATAGCGTTTGTCAGGTTTGCTTTAAATCGATTTACAGAAATGTATCCCTTTATACGCAAGCGACTCTAATGAAATTTAGCATAGGTGGCAGAATGGCAAGTGTGTGAATTGATGTTAGTCGGTTCATATATACATAAAGATAAATAAAAACCCGTTCAATTTCACGTCTATGTTCATTCGAAAAGGCGACGCCTATCAGGATACATCAGAAAGAATATACCCATTACTACTTTCCTTACTAGTTTTTGTTTGGAGTATTTACCACTAAATATGAACCAATAGCATTAAATTATAATCAATTCAATTGACAAGCGCGTCTAAAATTCTGAGTATTATTTGAATTCTGAGTAGGTATTTTTGAAATAAATAAAATGAATTCTTCAATATAAAAACGTATATGAAAGTTTGAGTCGTGCATATAATTTGAAATGAGTATCTGCAATGTTATACTCATGGTTTCTCTAATTTAAATTTGTATTCTAAACACTATTTACTGACATCTTTTGATAGCTTTCAGTCTCGTTACTGATAACATATTCTATTTATGTACGGTAAATAGATAAGGCTTTTGAAAGCTTTTTTAATATAACAATACATTACGTTCATGCGCACTAAAATATTGGAATATGTTGAACAAAATAAATAACGGAACAAAAAAGATTGACCCCGACGTGATTTGAACACGCAACCTTCTGATCTGGAGTCAGACGCGCTACCGTTGCGCCACGGAGTCATGTCGGCCCGGATTGTCCAAACTAATATATAAATTAAATGTATGTTGGAAATGCTTAACGTTGCTTCACATTTAAGGGTAGCCTAAATGTCAGTACTGAAACTCATAATCTTGAGCAGAATAATAATCTATGCCGATTTAGCTATGTCCGCCGTTCTGTTGATAAAGCTCGTCATATTTTAAATACAGTATTTAAATTTTATATTTACATTGATATTACTCCTAGGATGTTTGATAACGAAAATTGGATATGTCGGACCGCTTTTTTAAATGGCGCCCAAATAACGTTACACACCACAGTATTCCCTATTTTTAACTTTTTGGGCGTGTTTTTCAATCTAATCAGCTTTAAATTTTCAACGTTGGTCAATTTTTTTACGTTAGCACATTCAAAATGTCGGTATTGAGGAAAGTCTAAGCATGGTTTTCCCTATTTATCATTTAGGATTTAAATTGAGTTAAAAATCTCCTTACCAAAAATTATTAATATTGGTCCTTGTGTCTGGTTTGCACCCATATAATGGAACCCTAAACGTTCGGTACTTTAGAACGCAACATCCCAAATTTCATCATAGATTTTCGTGTTGACATAACCCCCATATACGTGACCCGGTATGAAGTTTCTGTAATTTCAGATTCTTTGAGAGCGGGAAAATAATATTTGTAGACAATTTTCGATATCCGTAGATATTTTGACATAAACTCACAGAAAGTTGCGCCCACGGGCTTATCGCCGTTTTTTTTTTTTTTTTCTTGTTTACATTAGTAATTTTTGTTTGTACACATTTATTCGGTTATATGAACTCCTAGCGTTAAATATATGAACTAATGAATTTTGGTGGTAACTTCCACTAACATTACCAGCATGTTATATTTCTTCAACCCCTAACAGTTTCACCAACAAAATGGGGGTGGATTTAAAATCAACCGTAATCATGAATACCACAACATGCTAAACATATGTCTTAAATGTAATAGCAGACTCCGTGGCGCAACGGTAGCGCGTCTGACTCCAGATCAGAAGGTTGCGTGTTCAAATCACGTCGGGGTCATAGAATTATGACTGTCTTGGAATCGCCTCCAGGTTCCGGCTTTTTGCTATTTATACCCTTCACCACACTGTGGTACAGGGTATTATGTCTTTGTGCATATGTTCGTAACAGGCAAAAGGAAACGAGATAGACACATGGTTCCTTTCAAGAATATGCATAGAATCACTTACTGAGTCGATTTACGCATGTCCGTCCATGTATTTTTGTGGACAAAGTACAGGTCGCATTTATGATCCGATTTGGATGAAATTTGGCACAGGTCACTTATTTGGCCCAAGGACAAACCCTATTGAAATTGCGAAAAATCGGTTCAGATTTAGATATAGCTCCCATATATATTTTCGTCCGATTTAATGTAAATGGTGCACCGAAGTCCCTATATATCTTTCGATTTGCACGAAATTTGGCACAGCGTACTGAAGTAGGCCTAGAATGGTGTGTGCTGAGTTTCATGAAAATCGGTACAGATTTAGATATAGCTCACATATATAGTTTCGTCCGATTTAATGTAAATGGTGCACCGAAGTCCCTATATATCTTTCGATTTGCACAGAATTTGGCACAAGGTAATGAATGAAGTATAGAATGATGTTTGTTAAGTTTCCTGAAAATCGGTTCAGATTTAGATATAGCTCCCATATATAGTGTCGTCCAATTTTAGGTAAATGGTGCACCAAAGTCCATATATATATATATATATATAATTCAATTAAGTCTAGAATGATGTGTGCTAAATTTCGTGAAAGTCGGTTCAGATTAAGATATAGATCCCATATATAGTGTCGTCCGATTTTACGTAAATGGTGCACCAAAGTCCCTATATATCATTCGATTTGCACGAAATTTGACAGAACGTTCTGTATGAAATGCAGAATGATGTGTGCTGAGTTTGGTGAAAATCGGTTCAGATTTAGATATAGCACCCATATATATTTTTGTCCGATTTATGTAAATGGTGCACCAAAGTCCCTATATATCCTTCGATTTGCACGATATTTGGCTCAGCGTAATGAATTAGGTCTAGAATGATGTGTGCTAAGTTTCATGAAAATCGGTTCAGATTTAGATATAGCTCCCATATATATTTTCGTCCAATTTAAGGTAAATGGTGTAACAAAGTCCCTTAATATCATTCGGTTTGCACGAAATATGGCACAGCGTAATGAATTAGGTCTAGAATGATGTGTGTTAAATTACCTGAAATCGTTGAAATCGATTCAGATTTAGATATAGCTTCTTTATCTGACCAAATGAAGGAAATTAGTATAGGTTGCAGAATGACATGTTTATGGATCCAATTTCATTTTGCTGGTCCTTTAAAAATGCGACGTCTGTTAGGATTCATCTGTTGAATATGCCCAAAGTGGTTAAGGGCATCATATAGTCGGCCCCGTCCGACTTTACTACTTTCCTTACTGGTTTTTTAATTCATTTCAATCTTTAGAACAATTTATTGCAATGGAAAGTTACGAGGATGATATAAAAGAAATAGCTAGAAAGGTTGGAAAACCAAATATCAACAATGGGGGGTTCTGCTCCATATAATTGGTAGATTGAGTAGATTTTCTACCCTATTTTATCACAAAAATATAAAGTTCTCTAATTTGGTGGGAAGATTTGCTAACTAATGAGAACAGACAATTCGGTTGAAAAACGTTTGTAAAATATCCAAATTATCGAGTATCGTACACGTGTTCTGATGAATACCATATTCAATATCAAATATTGTTGGTGCAGTAGTAACGTCTGTTCAATATCGATCAAGAATAAATATGTTAAATATTTCGAGGCAGAGCAAAGGGAATGATAACATTTTATATTCACTCCACCTTTCGGTGGACCTTATAACAAAAACCTGGTTGTCAGAACAAAATTGCCAGAGTTCACAAACTTGGGCAGCGGGTAAATGGAAACTTGTGATCTGGTCAGATGCTGAGTAGTTTGAAATCTGTGAAGAACGTTGGAGAAAAAGTATATAGGGTTGCTTTGTGTAGTGGGATCCTAACTATTTCAGAATTTTTCAGATTCACATTCACCACATGTTCGTATTACGACATACAATTGTGTGATTCAGAAAGGCCAAAGATATAATAAACATTTTGATATTGTTCTCCCTCCTACCCCTGTGTTCTTAGCTAAGTTCTTCTGTCGTTTCCATTCAAACAACTCATGAATTGGGTTCAACGTTTAGCAAAATTGGGCAGTGGCATAGAAAATCTTCCACCGTTTCACAAACATATGCACATCTGCTGTAAACCAGATGTGCATATGTTTGTAACAGGCAAAAGGATTCGAGATCGACTCATGTTTCCTTTTGAGAATATACATAGAATCACTTTCTGAGTCGATTTATCCATTTCCGAATGAACTATATCAGAATTAACTATATTGCAGTATTTTGGGGATTTTATACACATGTGCCATGCGTCGTCCAAATTTGTCCACATTTCGGGGATTTGAGATTTTAGAAAAATGTGAATAAATGGTTTTCAACAATTGCTTGGTACAATTGTTGATTTAGTTATACTTTTTCGTATGTTCCACATATTTTAATTTCAAGTAACTATCGGCATAACTATGCCTTTTTTACTTGTTACTTCTAAAGTTTGCTTAGTCTTATCTTAGTTTGGGTCTCCCTATAAAATTACATTTCCAGACCACAAGTTATTCCAAAGTATTGTGTGTGTCTCTTTCGCCCATGACCTCGCTTCTAAACGTGTTGCGCTATAAACTTATCGTTGTATAGATCTGTAGCGTTTTGCTTAGTAGCACTTCTGGCGAGTAGTTTGGCTATCATATTGCTTATGTGTGAAATTTCACGAAGTAAATTCTCATCCTTCCCGGGAGAAATCTGTATAACAACTGTTACCAGAGCACATTTCTATTAGTATTTCATTGTCCATGAGGTTCTATTCGGTATCACAGTTTCAAATGATGTGTGGCCTGTATACCCAACTGGAATGGACCACTGGGTTAGCGAGAGAATCCCAGAATCCCCAGATTGGATAAGCTTTTCAGTATCGACCGCTAAATCTACATTTTCAGCTAAATACTACATGTTATTTCCGAAGATGCTTCTAACACGGTGTACTACCCGTGCAAAGTGGTTTCCACTGATATGTAAAATATTCTGTAGAAGAAATACTTTTTCAGCAGGTTGGTGATCTAAGACTCGCCTCAAAAATCATAAAAGTATAGCTTCGTGAGCAATATTTCCAGCATTTATACGATTTAGAATTTGTAGTTTTTCGTGAATATCAGTTCTTACCAATTTGAACGAGCTTCATTTGTGAATCCAAAATAAATAAAATAAAAGCGCATCGGATGTATAATGTTTTAGCCGCATTTTCCAACCAAAGTGGCTGCAGTTTGACATTCTATGTTATCGGAAGGTGGTGACGAACTCTGTAAAATATATTCAATGTCGGTTCATACGTTGGCTTAGAATCTAATATAACGATCCCACTAATTTTCCACATTTGTTATTATTATTATAAAACCCTACTTCTAATTAGTGTGTCTATCCTTTGCAAATTTCTTTTCGTGATAAATAAAATGTGTGTTATCTATAATTTAATTTTTTTGTCGATCAAATCGGTAGTCAGTCTAATATGTGCGACAACTAATTAAATTTAGCTTATCACCTACTGATTATTTCTAATCGATAGATTTGGAATACTCCACTTGCATACATAACCTAGTAGGTGAAGATATATAAAACAAACTTTTAGTAGTTTGTGAAATCCGACGAAGTCAATATGAAGTGTATTGCGTTAGCGGTGGCTGTGTTATTGGTTGTATGCCATGTGGGCTTTACTTATCCAACGAACGACAAAGTATCCTATCAAGGATACAAAGTTTTTAATTTGAATATTGAAAATGAAAATCAACGTAATTTTCTAATTGATTTCATCGAAAATAATAATGCTGGGGTAAGTTTGAAGCAGTAGGTAACGAAAGCTATGAACTAACAAATATTTTTTTGAAGGTTTCCATATGGCATCAGGATTTTAACAGCATGGATATTTTAGTCGATCCTAAAACCCAGATGTACTTCCACAATGCTACTATGGCTAGAGGTTTTCGTTTGAAGGAAGTTATTTCTAATTTGCAAAGGTAATTTCATAAATTTTTAATAAAAATTGAATTTAATATACGACCCCATATCGGGTGGGAAAGGAAATTATAAAGATTTTTAGTTTTTCAAAGGCGGTATATCACGGTACCCATCGTTTTGAGTGTATCAACTTATGAAATACTACGATTATCATTGTGCTCCAGTACAGTAATACTAAAATATTATTTAAGTTTCTTCAAACCAATGTCCGGCAAGTAAAACTACGCAACACCAAAATGCTCCTTCGAGAAGAAAACGTTTACTTTAGCTGTATGCATTGATATCGAGGGAGCTTTCAATTATATCGGCACTATAAACACTTACCCAATCCTTCGGGACCTTTCGAGTTGACCAGGCAATCGTAGTCTGAGCCAACCACATGCTAATGATGGATAAACTGTGGCCTACAAGACATAAATATCAGGGACAAAGTAGGACAAGGGACACCGCAAGAAGGAATTTTATCACCATAGTTGTGGGTTACCACTATCAATAGTCTAATAAGGATTAGGGGTTAAAACCCGTTTGTTATGTAGACGATGTTATAATAAGAGGGGAAAGAATCCCAACATGTTGTGTAGGAAGACTGTCGACGCCGAAAGGCATCCGGCCAAAACGGAGATATATCTCTTTGCTAGAAAGACAAAAATGTTATGCAGACGATGTTATAATACTTCTGAGGGAAAACCGAAACTTGTTTGGCAAGAAGGCTGGCGAGGCCGAAAGGCCTTAACGTAAATCCGGCCACGATGGAGATATGTCTCTTCACTACAAATACAAAAATAGGACAGTATGAAGAATCCATCTATCAAAACAAATGAAAAAACCATATCAAATAAAGTTGTGTACAATAAGTGGGAGTTATCCTAGACAGAAAACTTAAATGGAAAGACCACATACAGGAATCGGAAGACAAAGCCCACATATGTAAAAGTATCATAGGCTCTGAAAGAGGTTTAATCCAAAGATGACACATTGGATCTATTAAAGCGTTATTAGACCAATCCTAACATATTCGTCGGTAGTCTGCTCAACAGCAATGGACAAAAATTGTAATGTAAATTTATTACAGATATGTGTGGCAATGAGGACAACATCAACTAGAGACTTGGAGACTGCACGGTATATACATCCAAATTAAATATGAAGCGGTGGTCGCTACTTTTAGACTTAATGATATGAATGACTGATAGTACAGGCCACAATCCGTAGTTTTGAGTGGGACCGAAGTACCTGCAATAAACAGGTGAAAAATATGTTAAATTCGGCCGGGCGGAACTTCTATACCCTCCACCATTGATATACCAATAGTTACTTGAAATTAAAATATAGAAAAGGCACCAAAAAAAGTATAGGTATACTAACAATTGTAGCAAGCCATTCATGTGAACCATAGTGTACATCAAATAAAAATGTCAGCAATTCTTTTCAATCACAAAACCCCAAAATGCCGGATCAAGATTGATTTGGATCAACCGATCATTTGGAGTTACTTATATAGCTCCGTATTGAACCCAACATCTATGCTTTGTAGCGCAATACCTTCCTTCCGATTATTAGATCGGTAGGTATTTTTAGATAGGGATTAGGCCTAAATGCGGTCCGATATAGTTCATTCTAGAACATGACGTTCTAGTTTTTTATCTTGATATCCCCCGAAGTTAAAACGATTACAACAGATAATTAAATCAGCAGAATCGTTTTAACATTCCATACTTTCGAGTACAGAATCCCCCACTACTATATGGATATAAACTGAAAACGCTGAATAATTAATATAAGTCGTTTAATATAAATAATATAAAATGGGGTTTATATGGGGAGTACCCCTAAAAGGGGACGAATATTCATAATTTTTGGGAGGGAGATCTGCAACCATATACAACTACAAAATACCATTCAACAAACCCAAAATACCGAAGATTGGGCGATATAGGGGCTACCCGAAAAAAATTTACCTACACTGAGGTACAGGGTATTATGTCTTTGTGCGTATTTCTAGCAGGCAAGGGAAACGAGATAGACACATGGTTCCATTTGAGAATATGCATCGAAGCACTTTCTAAGTCGTCTGGATGAAATTTGGCACAGCTCATTTATTTGCCCAATGACGAACCCTATTAAAATTGGGAAAATCGGTTAAGAATTCGATATAGCTCCCATATATATTTTGGTCTGATTTAAGGTAAATGGTGCACCAAAGTACCTATATATCTTTCGATTTGCACGAAATTTGGCATAGCGTACTGAATTAAGTCAATAGTGATGTGCGTTAAGTTTTGTGAAAATCAGTTCAGATTTAGATATAGAACCCATATATATTTTCGTCCGATTTTATAAAAATGGTGGAACAAAAAACTTATATACCTTTCGATTTGGACGAAATTTGGCATAGCGTACTGAATTAAGTCTAGAAATATATGTGTTGAATTTCGTGAAAATCGGTCCCTATATATTCTTCTATGGGCACGAAATTCGGCATAGCATACTGTATTGAGGCTAGAATGATGTGTGGTAAGTTTCGGAAAAATCGGTTTCGATATAGCTCCCACAAATACATATATGTTTGTCCGATTTTACATAAATAGTGCACAAAACTCCTAATGTTTGTCCAATTAACACGACATTTTGCACAACGTATCAAATTGTGACTTGAATGACGTTATTACGTTTTGTTGAAATTGGTGCAGATGCAGCCATAATTTCCATATGTATTTCGAACGGGTGTCTTATTGAGATTAAATGTTTAACAGTGCGTGTATCAATTTTGCTATAAATCGCTATCCATAAATATGTCCCATGGCACGCCAACGAACCATAGTTCCTTTTGAGAATATGCATAGAATCACTTTCTGAGTCCATTTATGCATGTACGTCCGTTGGAGTTAAATTGTAAACAAAGTACAGGTCGGATTTATAATCCGAATTGGATGAAATTTGGCACAGCTCATTTGTTTGGCCCAAGGACGAACCCTATTGAAATTGGGAAAAATCAGATTTAGATATAGCTGCCATATATATTTTCGTCCGATTTAATGTAAATGGTGAACCAAAGACCCTATATATCATTCGAAACATGCCATAGAGTACTGAATTGAGCCTGTAGTGATGTGTGCCAAGTTTCGTGAACATCGGTTCAGATTTAGATATAGCTCCCATATATATTTTCGCCCGATTTAATGTAAATGGTGCACCAAAGACCCAATGTTTAAGACAATTTAATCCAATGATGACTTCTTCTATTTTTGTTCTTCTTTAGAGCGCACAACAGATACTTACAGGCTTATATGCATAATTAATATTGGACGTGTGGTGGCGTAAACCACTTTCAATTCAACCTAACCTAATGTCCAACTACACTGTAGTTATTACAGCCGCTTCGGATGCAACATGTTACTATATGTTTCCAATTTTCAAAATACCCAAAGGCAACATGTCCTATTAACTTTGTGTAGCGCTTTCACATTACATATATTAGAATTGTACGCGTATGTTAGATTTGATCTAATTACGCTCTTTTATATCCATATATCGGCATCATAAGAATTATCTATGTTATTACCCCCCTTTCCTTTTTTTACAGTTTAATTGATGAGGAGAAACCCTATGAAGGTGACGATTCCGACGAATTTAATTGGACCCGCTACTATGAATTGGAAGATATCTATAAATTCTTAGATGATATTCTGGCCAAATATCCAAAAGTTACTGAACCCTTTACCATTGCTCAGTCCTATGAAGGTCGTACGGTTAGAGGCATCAAAATTTCCCTTAAAGAAGGAAATCCTGGCATTTACATTGAATCCAATATACATGCACGTGAATGGATTACTTCGGCCACTGCTACCTGGTTTATCAATGAATTGCTGACATCAACGGATCCCGAAGTTCGTAACTTGGTGGAAAATTACGATTGGTATATTGTGCCGGTGTTGAATGTTGACGGTTTCACTTATTCACACAATAAGGTCGGATATTCTGGAAAAATATATTTTGAAATTACTTATTATTCTATCCTTTACAGGACCGCTTGTGGCGTAAGACCCGCCAACCTGTTGCACACTCAACCTGTATTGGTACCGATGGTAATCGCAATTTCGATTCATATTGGATGGTTAACGGTGCCTCATCGAACCCTTGTGCCAGTGATTATGCCGGACCACAAGCTAATTCTGAACCAGAAATTAAGGGAGAATCGGAATTTTTAAGTGCAAATAAGGATAAATTCAATATCCTTTTGGCATTCCATTGTTATTCGCAAATGCTATTGTCGCCCTATGGTCATACCTTGGAATTGCCACCAAATAACGATGATCTAGAGAAAGTTGCTGATGCCTATGCCAAGGCTGTCATCAATATGCCATATAAAACTGAATATACCTATGGTACATCGGCTGGTGCTATGTGTAAGTAGTGTCAAAGAAAGTTAGGGGATTTAAAAGAAGTAAATGACTTTATCTTCGGGAGGTATATTTACATGTTTTGATTTAGATACGTCTTCAAAGGAAAAAGTTCTGTTGTTATTTTCCAAAAAAGTAGTATAAGTGTGTATATGGAGACGGTGCTGCTAACTTAAAGCGCTATAGCTTATTTTTGGTGAGGGTGATTTTGTACTGAATGAGAATATCCAGGTCCTGTTAGAAAAAAAGTGCCCATAATCCTATAAAAACAAATTTTTGGGTTTTTACCATTACGAAACTACACACAACAACAAACACTCAGAGTATAAAATTGGGCTGAGATCGTATAAATTGAAATTGTTCTGAAGAACGGGACCTATCAAGGTCCAGGAATGCCAAATTACGGACACTTCGTAATCTCCAAAACACCAAAAAATTGGGTAGCGTTATATAATTTCTAAGTTTTATGAAATTCTGAAAATACAAAGATATACGAATACCGATATCCGATATACCAAAAGGAGGACCGATATTGATAATTTTTTGTAGGAAGACCAAGAACTCAAAATCTAAAATAAGAACCAATTCGGTTGAAAAATGTGACCCAAATATCGATTAATTAGGGCTTCACTAAATATAAGGGCTATCCCGACACTTGGAACAATATTTATACCACAACTATGTTGTCATGGTACGCCTTTAAGTATACCGATGTTATCTCTAGTAGCTAAATCGATCTAGACTTATGTGTCCGTCCGTCCGTCTGTCCGTTACAATTTGTAAACACGATACAGACCATATTTATGGACCAACCGTCATGCGTGTAGGGTGATTTCTGACCAAAGAAGACACCTATTGTTTTTGGTAATGATCCGTTAATATTTAGAGGATGAAATGGACTAAAAACATTATTTTTTCTGGTTTTCTGACCACAATTATGACCCAAACACCAGGAAGGAAATCTAGCCAAAAAATATGCATGGTTGTTGATGAAGATTGGTCAATATTTATCGGGTCAAATGGACACAGACTTTTGTGTGAAAAATTACACAATTACTTCTAAAGGACATAGACCCAAGAAGTTGATAGTATAACCAAGGAGTGGAGTGGAGGAGTGGTTGACCTTTATATTAATACCAATTATATTTATCAGTATTACTATTACCCCAATAAAGGGCGAAAATGTCGCGTTGAACGCTTTGAAATTTTACATCAAGTTTAGTAGGACGATATTAGATATTAAATTGTAAACAAAGTACAGGTCGCATTTATGATCCGATTTGGATGAAATTTGGCACAAGTCACTTATTTGGCCCAAGGACGAACCCAATCGAAATTGAGAAAAATCGGTTCAGATTAAGATATAGCTCCCATATATATTTTCGTCCGATTTAAGGTAAATGGGGCACCAAAGTCCCTATATATGTTTCGATTTGCACGAAATTTGGCACAGACCACTGAATTAAATCTAGAATTATGTGTGTCTAGTTTCGAAAAAAATCGGTTCAGATTTAGATATAGCTCCCATACATAGTTTCGTCCAATTTTAGGTAAATGGTGCTCCAAAGTCCTTAGGTATCATTCGATTTGCACGAATTTTGGCATAGAGTACTAAATTAGGTCCAGAATGATGTGTGCCAAGTTTCAAAAAAAATCGGTTCAGATTTAGATATAACTCCCATATATAGTTTCGTCCGATTTAAGGTAAATGGTGCACCAAAGTCCCTAGATATCATTCGATTTGCACAAAATTTTGCATAAAGTACTGAATTAGGTCAAGAATGACGTGTGCTAAGTTTCGAGAAATTGGGTCAAATTTATATATAGCTCCCATATATATTTTCGCCCGATTTAAGGTAAATGGATCTCCAAAGTCTCTATATATCTTTCGATTTACACGAAATTTGGTCCAGAATGATTTGTACTAAGTTTCGTGAAAATCGGTTCAGATTTAGATATAGCTCCAATATATATTTTCGTGCGATTTAATGTAAATTGTGCACTAAAGGCCCAAAAGATTTGCCGACCCACACATAATTTTGTACAATGTACTGAAGATACTATAACCTTTCGTGTGTCAAATTTTATTAAAATTGGTTCAGATTTACATATAGCTCCTACATATACTTTCGTCCGATTTTAAGTAAATGGTGTACTAAAGACCCATAGCTAGGCCGATTGGCAAAACGTACTGAAATTAGTATAAATTCAACGCGGCAAGTTTCCTTGAAATTGGTTTAGATTTAGATATAGCATAGCTTCCATATATAATTTCGACCTATTCATGTTGATTGTAAACCAAATAATCAATGGGTGCCTGATTGAAATTACATTTTAAACAGTGAAGCATACCAAATAGCGTGCGTAAAGTTTGCTTAAAATCTATTTATATAGTATGGAATAGATTGTACAATGGCATATGTAAGGATTGATGTTAGTCGGTTTAATTATAGATAAAGTTCGCATTTTTATGTTCGTTCAATTTCATGTCTATGATCCTTCGAAAAGACGACATCTGTAAATATACATATGTAGCATATCCCCAAAGTGGTGAAGGGTATCATATAGTCGGCCCTGTTTGACTGTATGATACCCTTCACCAAAATGATAAATTGCATGAAATTCGGTTGGAAAACGTGAAAATATTTTTCGAAGGGAGAGGTGCTGGCCAAAATTTTAATATGCAGGTGATTCGGGTTGATAACATGCCTAATGCTAAACGTGGAACGACGTATCCCACCTTTGTACTTGATCTGCAGGCAAACGAAATATGCGTCTATACAAAATTATAGATAAATATTTTGATTCCATTGGAAATTCAAGAGACATAATTTTACACTGATCAGGAATGTATGAACTTTATAGGTTAAAAAATATTTCAATCTATATTGGAAGTAATCATTATCCAGATCAATACAATTCAACTCCGATAATAATAAATCATTTATATGGGATTAAAGAGAGGCTTCTCAACTATACCTTTTGGGGTTTCCGAATCTCAGATTTCCCGAACTAGAGCCTAGAGACATTTTCTCTTGTTGATGCAGCCATGAAAGTCCATTTTCACCTTCGTGATGATGATGTTTGCTGTAACTTTAGAAGGTTTTATTCTTTAACATTTGACAAGTAGAAATTACAGCAATTTAGTAGGGTTTGACTTTCGTCTAGTAGAGTTCCTTTTCATTGGCTTGGCAAACTAAATCACAAATAAATATCAGTAAGGAGGGAATACTAATTTGCACACGGCCGAACGTAACGGCGACTTTACATGCTACAGTTTATAATGGAGAAAGGAATTGATACACATATCAGTATCCATCCAAATCCAAATGCTCGTTATGCAGGCTTAGGACCATATTTTTTAAACATTTGTTTAAAAACATTATAAAACTCTGAACATATTTGTGTAGGGTATATAAATTTCTTATAATACAGTCTTTCAAATATTTATTTTAAATATCTCTTAACGAAAACTCTGCTATTTATTAATTATGCTTCTCAAATATTCAATATTAAAGCTCTCGTCGTTCACCAAAAAAAAAAAAAATATTTATATACCAGCAATTATGGTTCTGACAAAAATCTCAAAGAAAAAAATTCCATAACTTGGACAGCAAGTTATTGTATTGTTTGTTTTATTAACGATTATTGAAAACAAATTTTTATAATTTATATGTGTATACATGTTTATATTTGCAGATTATGCCCCCGGTTCGACCATTGATTTTGCCTACAATGAAGCTGATATCAAAATCACCTACACCATTGAAATGCGGGATACGGGTCTTCATGGTTTTGTATTGCCTCCCACTCATATCCTGCCCAATTGCAAGGAAACCATGGCCGGTATTGTGGCCCTAGTCAAGGAAGCTCAAAATTTGGGTTATATGAAACCAAAATATTTGTAATCAAATGCGATTAATTGTTATATTGTCGTCATAACACATAATAATAATAAAAATGAAAAATAAGATTATATACATGTTTTTAGTACAAATCGTCACCCATTATCTGCATAGCCATCAAAAGATTGGGATTTGTGATCGTAAAGATTAATAGGGGCATGTTTTACTTATCGATATTTTGTTTGGGTAGTATAAATGCTTTGGTAATTGCAATGGAACATTTAGTCATTTCTTGGAATTATGGCTAAATTGAGTTTAGTATTTTTGTTAGCCTCTCTGGTGGTTGCCATTTCGGCTGCTTCCTTAAAGCCTCAGGAGAAAATCCGTTATGATAATTATAAAGTTTATAAATTGAAAGTTGAAAATAAAACCCAATTATCTGTTATTGAATTGATTGAGGATATTCGTGAAAAGGTAACAATGGATTTCCGTTAAAGGGGTAATGTGTTTGGAAAAATACTAATGGTGTTCTATTCAATTTAAAGTATATGATCTGGAAGGAATACGATGCAGCCACAAAGGAAGTTGATATTATGGTTAATCCCAAAGAAATCGCCAATTTTGAGGATCTCTTGAAGGTCTATGGCTTCCAAGCGGAAATCTTTATCGATAATGTACAAGAGTAAGTAAAAGTGTATTAAAATGGAAGTAATATTTTTCTGAGGTTGTGAATATTATTGATTTTTTTGTCGGTATTACAACCTGAGGTTGTTGTTAAAAAATTAAAAAAAAAATCCTCAATAATATCTAAATATATTACCGATTTTATACATGAAAGAATTTTGAAAACAAAAAAATGGAATTATGAATCCTGAACATTTTAACGGAGCAGTTGAAGGAATCAAAGAAGATACTGGAAGTTTCGGGCACTGGCATAGGCTTTGCTCTTAAAACACTTAGCGTATTCTGCATAGCAGCATAACGATAAACTTCTTCTACTTGCAAATTTTCGTGACATTGGTCCATAAATGTGGTCTGCGTCGTATTTACAAATTATAATGGACAGACGGATGATAACATCGTCTCAGCTAGTCGAGATATGCTACAATCGGTATACTAAAAGGTGGATGTAGACCAATATTTCGCGGCGTTACAAGCTCTTGGAGCCCTACAAAGCTATAACACTTTTACAACATAGTTGAGTAGGGTATAAAAACATTAAATTTCCAAAAATAATTAAAAATAAAACAGTCATATCTTACTTTTAATGATTTAATTTGTGCAGTATTTCAATATCATAAATCAAATGGTTCATAATCACAAACACATAAACAAGCGATAACAATCAGAAGTGAGCTACTTACTATAACCTATCGTAAATAGCAGCTTGCACTCGACCATATAATTAATGACTATTTATGTTTGTCGCCAAAATCTTTAATTACTACTTCGATTATTACGATTAACTTCTATTTCTATTTACACTCTAAAATATACTATATTTTGCAGATTAATCGATGAAGAGGATAAGGCTGCCGAATTATCGCCCGATAATGGTGAACTAACATGGGCTCGTTATTACGAATTGGAAGACATTGAAAAATGGTTGGATGGCATTTTGAACAAATACCCAGAAGTCACCGAAGGTTTCGCCATTGGCAAATCATATGAAGGTCGTACCATTCGTGGTATTAAGATCTCATATAAGACTGGTAATCCTGGTATCTTCATTGAGTCAAATATTCATGCTCGTGAATGGATAACATCAGCCACCGCCACATGGTTCATCGATCAATTGTTGACCTCTACCGATCCTGAAGTGAGAAATTTGGCTGAAAACTATGATTGGTATATTATTCCTGTGTTCAATGTTGATGGTTTCGAATATACTCACAGAACTGTAAGTTGGAATTTTGAGAAGGATTTTTAATAGGTTATGATGTAAAGATACCATGTGGTCACTATATAGACCAATTGGACTTACTGAAGGTCTGTGGTATCTATGTAGACCATTTTCTCTTTATAAAAACCTGTGGTCGTTATATAGACCTAATGGTCTGAATATAGACCAATATCTCGTTACAAATAACTGTGTTCTCCATATAGACCAATTGTTCTTTATAAAAAGATGTATTCTTTATATATACCAGAACGTCTATAAAAAGACTTATGGGACTATATAGACCAGCTGGTTTTTGAAATGATCTGCGGTCTCTATACAGACCTGTTGGTTGTACAGAGAACTGTGGTCTCTATATAGGCCAATTGGTATTTGTAAAAATATGTGGGCTCTATGTAGATCAATTGTTCTTTGTAAAGGCCTCTGGTCTTTTTAAAGACCTATGGCGTTTTTGAAGCCATATGGTATCTATACAGTCAAATTGTTCACTACATAGACCAATTGGTCTTTGCAAAGATCTGTGGTCACTATATGGAATTGGTATTTGTAAAGACCTGTTGTCTCTATATAGACCTATTGGTCTGTATTAAGGCCTGTGGTTTCCATCTGCCCTCATTTTCTGAATTATATATGCTACACTTAGTTGATTACTCATGTTGGTAATCTAATTTTATTCTCTGATTTTAGGATCGTATGTGGCGCAAGACTCGTCAACCAGTCTCCACCTCCAACTGTATTGGTACCGATCCCAATCGTAATTTTGCTTTCCAATGGATGGTAAACGGTGGTGCCTCCTCCAATCCCTGTTCCGAAACTTATGGTGGTCCAGAACCATGGTCTGAACCTGAAGTTAAAGCTCTGGCTGATTATGTTACCTCTATTAAGGATAAGATTAACATTTATTTGGCCTTCCATTCGTATGGCCAGTGGTTGTTGTCTCCCTATGGTCACACCACAACTGAATTCCCAGAAAACTATGACGACATTTTGGATATTGGTGAAGCTTTTAAAAATGCAATTTTGGAGTTGCCATATAAGACTGAATATGTACATGGTTCCACAGCGACTGTTTTGTGTAAGTATTTAGTTTATGTCATTTGTTCGGATTCTTTTTTATTTCATTTGTTAAATTTTCCGATACAGACGTTACCGCTGGTTCCAGTGTCGATTGGGTATACAACGATTTGGATGTTAAAATTGGCTATACCATTGAGTTCCGTGACAAGGGTCGTTATGGTTTCATCTTACCACCAGTACAAATTTTACCCAATTGCCAAGAATTAATGGCTGGTATGAAGGCCTTGGTATCGAAATCTAAAGCTTTGGGTTATGTGTAAAGTTGAATAATATGTTCAGGTTTTCATCTATAAACTAAATTTGTTATGTTTTTGTTAACGGCTCTCATTAAAATATTTGAAATAAAAGGAAACTAAACTTATGTTTGAAGAACAAAGAAGTTTGGAAGTACCAATAATGTTGCCAAATCGTATGTGGAAATAAGTATACCCGGAAATTCAGAAACGTAAAACAGTCCAACCAAAGGAGTGTATGACGACATGGAAACAAAGAAATATAACAAAACCAGTAAGGAAAGTTCAAAAGTATGTACCACTTTGGTTACATACAAGAGATGTTAATATCTATAATATCCTGTTGATGGAACAAACATACAATCTTTGGAGGACCATTGACATGGAATCGGGCGAAATTAAATGTGTTTGAGTTTGGTGTATCATACACTAAAAATCGGACGATATATAGGAGCTATATCTAAATCTGAACAGATTTAAAAAAAAAACTTCGAAGACATCAGTCTGTACCTAATTCAGTACTGTGTCGAAATTTTATCTCAATGGGACAAATATTGGGAGTTTGCTGCATCATTCACAAACAATCGTATGAAACTATATATGGAAGCTATATCTAAATCTAAACCTATTTTAACAAAACTTCGTTGACACCAGTCTGGACCTAAATCAGTACTCTGTGCAAAATTTTGTGACAATCGGACAAATATTGAGAGTTTGGTGCATAATTTACATAAAATCGGACGAAACTATATATTGGAGCTATATCTAAATCTGAACCGATTTTAACAAAACTTCGCAGACATCAGTATGGACCAAATTCAGAACTCTGTGCAAAATTTTGTGCCAATGGGACAAATATTGAGAGTTTGGTGCATCATTTACATAAAATCGGACGAAACTATATATGGGAGCTATATCTAAATCTGAACCGATTTTCTCCAAATTCAATAGGGTTCGTCCTTGAGCCAAATAAGTGAACTTTGCCAAAGTTCATCCACATCTGATCATAAATGCGACCTGTACTTTGTTAACAAAAATACATGGACGAACGGACATGCGTAAATCGACTCAAAAAGTGATTCTATGCATATTCTCAAAAGGAGCCATGGGCCTATCTCGATTCATTTTGCCTGTTACAAACATATGCACAAAGACATAATACCCCGTACCACAGTGTGGTGAATGGTATAAAAAGGGGGTTATATGGGGACTGCTCCAAAAATGGGGTGTATATTGATGATTGTTGGTAGGGAGATTTGTTACCATATGCGACTACAAAAACGCGCTCAAGAACCCCAAAATACCGAAAATTGGGTGAACTTTTATATAGGGGCTATACGAAAAAATTGACCTATATTCTTAATTTTTTATGGAGAGATTCGGTACCTATAAAGAACTCAAAATACTAAATTACAGCTAATTCGGCGGAAAAATACGATCAAAACCCCCAAAATACTGAAAATTAGGAGGTACCGTTATAGTGGACCTATGTTTATAATTCTTTTGTGGAGACATTTAGTACCCCATAAGAACCCAATGTAGTAAATTTCAACGAATTCTGTTGAAAATCGCGCCCAAGAACCCCAAAATACCGAAAATTGGGGGGCCACCCTTATATGGGAGCTATGCCTAAACGTGGACCGATAATACCCATCTTCGAGCTTGACCTGCCTGCAGACAAAAGACGTCTCTATGCAAAATTTTGGCGATCTATCTCAATTCGTTTAGACGCTAGAGTGATTACAACAGACAGACGGACATGATTATATCGTCATAGAATTTTACGGTGATATATATATATATATACTTTATAGGGTCGGAAATGATTATTTCGATAAGTTACAAACGGAAAA